ATTCTAAGATTTCCGCAAGCACGGTATCTTCGTCTTAGCCCAGACGGGCTATTAGTTTCAAAACAGGATTTTGCGTTGAATCACTTTTTAAATCATTGCCACCAAATATTATCGCCCTGTATTATACTTAAAGAAATTAAGTAATGAAGAACTTACATGAATGTATGCATGCTTTTCGCATTGTCAAAAACAATGGTACCTAGAGCCATCAAATTTTGGATAACTTAGTCTTCCACCCGAAGTTAATTTGTTTTATTGTGCATTTCATGAATTTTTCATTAACAAACTCAGCGATTTCAAAACGAGCAGTGGCAACACTGTATGAAAAAAAAAAAAAAAATTATCTCCAGTGTGCGAGACTGCCTGTCGGAAATTCTAAAGATACGCTGTTTTTAAATATTTTTAGCCCCAATAATCTCGATATGTTTATGTAAATGAGAAAACGCTCTTTGGGAAAGAATGTTGGTATAAAAACATTCTAGTGAGAATTTAAGTGCTTTTGATATGCTCCACGAGTGTTACTTGCCCTGAAGTGAATGCGTAGCTGGCATGACAAAAGAAAACGAAAATTAATAGCCTTGGTAAATGGCATAGTTGAAAGTGAAAACACCTGTTGTCAACATCTACTCACTACACGAAGAGCCACGAGCAAGGTGTCTGTACCCTTCAAGCTCTCACTGAGAACTCAAATCGAACCAGAATATTTTGCGAATATCGCGCAAAGCATGATGTGTCCGGCTCAATGACAATAATGCCATAAAGTTGCATAACAGCGTGTAGAGGCAAAAGAATCATAAAATAATCGGACATCGCAAAATAAAAGAAGGGCTGGAGTGTGCGTGAAGCAAGCAAGTCAGTAAGTGTAGTTAAAATTAACTGGCAGTAGTTTAAGGAAATTAACATTCAAAAAAAAAAATAATATACAAGTGCAACGAAATGCAAAACAAATACAGCAACAGAAATGATAAGAAAATGCATTACAAGCTAGGTAGATGAACAATCATCCTTTCTGTGATGTGCAGCAAATGGTCTAAGATTATAGTCTTCCTCAAGTATTTTATAACTGACGAGATTAAAGGAATTTAAATATTCACATCCAAGTGCTTTGTCGTAAAATTTTGTGTCTTTATATTGAATTAGATTTCAATAACGTCAAGTCTGAGGTCTTAATTGAAGTGTTAGATTTCTGACATAATAACGAGCATTAGTAATAATGTGTGCTATAAATAGACGACACAAACTCAAAGTTGCTTTAAAGTTTTCATTTGCATTCTGTTTTTGCTCACAAAAAACACACCGTTTCTTGTTAAAATTAATTCATTCCAGCGATTTTCTAGGTCCAGTTAGCAAGACTTCTATGACAGGCCATTTCGTTACTCTTTCACACAAAGCAAATTTATTCTTTGGCAAATTATCAGTGATTTCATTTTTTTTTTTTTTTTTTTTTTTTTTTGTTCCCATATGGAGTTTTCATCAGTATCAAACATCCTTGCTGCAGCACAATTTCTATTTTCTCTCGCAAACTGAATGACTTTGCACTTGAAACCAGCATTGTCTTTGTTTTGTTTGCCAGGGGACCATTAGAACATTTGTTCGAAAGCCCAGGAAAAATCTACAAATGAATGACTTCAAATGATTAGTGTATTGCACATCTATCTTTCAGGTTTCTTCATTAAAAAACGGGTGCATGTTATACATCAGAATATACAGTATATAAAAGGACATTAAACTCGAGCCATCAGCTTCTATACTGTAATGAAATTTACAATTTCTTATTCAAATTTGTTATTTGAAGATCTTAGAAATTAATCACTTATTTCAAATCATCTGTTGCATAAATTCAAAAGGTAATAAATTTTGCCTATACTGTTAAACAAAATTATGTGATACTATATAATGAACATAAGTATGCTACAGTAAATTTGTGTTGAAAAAGATGTTATAAATGTGATCAAATTATGCACAGATAGTATGGTGTATGCAGACTGGTTGTGATATTTAAGCTAATGGGTATGAATATCATTAGTTAGCTGAGAAGAAATATGTATGGAATTGTCAAGTAAATACAATTTGATACTCGTGTACATGAAATCAAAGTTCAAGCCAGTTTGGCTGGATGACAGGGGAAAAAAAAAAAAGTTTCTCAATTATAACTTGATTGAAAGCATTAAGGTACCAGCATTTTGTTAGCCATAACAATCAACGATATGCAAGTAATAAAAGAAAAATTCTAATCTGGAGCAAGAAATCATTTAAATTTCAGTTTTTATATAGAAATTTGAAATTATTTAAAATCATACAGCTGTTAATAATGAAGTATAGTTTGATTTCATGATCTTTAATCCACAAAGTCTATTTTTTTTACAGTTCTTATATAAATCCTCATCAAGAATTGATGCTTTGGAAATGCTCATAAAATGATCCATTTTGATTTATATAAAAATGACTCGACTTAATTACATTTGCAATTAGTAAGGCCAACTGAGAATCATGTTGATGATTTCAAACTTGTGAATGCAGTCGAGGAAAATCTTAAACCACTTGCACTAAAAAGACGTGCCACGCATGTCGAAATGCCTTTGTCTCAAACCACAAACGATGTGAACACCACGTCGATAGGCATTTATCGCAAAAATTATAATAACGTGGTGCACACATCGCCTAACAACGAGATTATTTATTTCTCGAGTTACAGCTCTGGATTACACTCGCAGACGCAGAGCGGCGTAAATGAGACACTTTACCGCTTGTTATATTGTAGCGCACAGCACCGCAGCCGTGAAAGTTTAGTCATAGCGCAAGTGGTTAAAAAGAAAATTCATTTGGGAAACAATTTTGCATGTTTTTTGTGCAATTTGGATTTTTCTTTACAAGTTAATAAATCTGGTTACAAAAAGACTTTTTTTTTTTTTTTTTTTTTTTTTTTTTTTGAAGTCCCAGCTATTAAATTCTCTCTTGAACATGAAACTTATTATGTAGAGTCATTAGGTTTTTTGATGCAGAAGACATGAAAAATGTGCAATACCCTCACCACGACTTTAACCATAGAGTTCTCGAATATGTGTAGAGCGTGCTTCCATTGCACCACAAAGGCATGTGGAAAGGAGGGAGAAAACACATTATAATAAGCTCATGAATTATTGCTATAAAATTATATGATTATAAAATCAAAACCATTTTACAACCCAATAAAATTCCATTTAGCTTTATCTTAAAAAACAGCATTTATGTCCTAAATAGAGAAAGTAATCCAGACTTAAAAAATCTGATGTGTACACATGACTTCCTTGTATTAAATTATACGCATTTTATCTTGCGTTTCATTTAAACTTATTAAATTGAATTAAACCTACTTCGCCGACAGAGCATAAACCGCAATAGAATAAATGCATTCTTTAAAACTCTCTTTGTTTACCATAGCGACACTCTGGCGCTAGGTTCACTTAACAGTATTATGTTTCGTTCATATTATCTCAGAATGCACAAAATTCATATCATTTAAATAAATATCTAATCGTTGCCACATGTTCTATTCAAATACTATAATAAAGCTAGAACGATGTATAAAATAAATTAAGCAAACAAAACAAAAAAAGAAACAGCTTTTCACAGACGATTGAGTATTTCTCATTCAATTAATTCAGCTAAGTTTCTCTAGATTGGCAACAAATCTGCTATCCTGCTGTTTGAAATGAAAACCAGAGCAATGGCCGCCACTAAAAACATTATTAGGCTTAGCAGAACTTAAACAATTTTAAAATTGTTGATAATTCTAAAAATATTGCATACAGATTTACTAAAGGCATAAAAACCTTAACCGGAAGATAAGAACAACTTAATTCAATCATTTTTAAAGCAAAATATGTATAATTTACAAACATATAAGAGTAAAGAAACTGAGATCACTGAGCCGGGTAACAGAGTGGATGTATATATAAATATATTTATATACGTTTAGTACGGCCCATTGCAACCAAAATACGAGGTGCACATCTACATGTTATAGCAGTCCTATATACAAAATTTCAACGTTTTGAGGATACTTGTTTTTGAGTTATGCGAGATACGTACATACATACGTTCGTACAGACGCCATGAAAAATTCTCTTCAGAATTCATTTTAAAGCAGTTTTATAATTTTTTTGGAGGAAAAGAGTGTTTTATTCTGTCATTACGTACAGATATCACGGAAATACATCCTTAAATTGCATTCGAAAGAGGTCAAAATGGATATTTTCGTTGAAATATGCTGCCTGAAACTTTTCGCGATTACAATACTTCCTTTTTACTTCGTACAAGGAAGTAAAAAGAGAAGATGTTTTGTTGTTCAGATGCACTGTTTTCACCTTCGCAATTTTTTCTTCGTACTTTTCAAAACTGTAATTACTTGAACTGCATCTAAGCCACGTTTTAAATATTTAAATCTAGTTTTAATACAACTGTTACTTCTCTTTTCTAACACTGTCAGATTAGCTAGAGGAGAAGTTACGACATGGTTGTTGCTTATAATAAATTATTAGATTACGTACGTGTGATCGAAGCGTTGTGTTCTATTTTTCATAATGGAATTATTATATTCAGTGGTAAGTGATACTAGAAGAAACTCTTCTGAGAAAAAAATTTCTACAATTCAAGAGTTCCTAGCTGAAACATTTTCATTGGATCTGTTTAAGTAATTAGGAATACAAGACATTTGGAAACTGAGCAGAAACTATTTCATTTGCAGCTGTGCCTTGCATATGTTTTCCATAAAGAACCATTTTTTGAAGTCGATCAATCGGATATCCTAAAAATGAAATGTTTATTTTAACAAGCAGTCACAGATAACTTTCAAGTCTGATAATGATCTAACAGGCTTAAAAACTCAATTTGGGAATTGTGGTGCATCACTATTATACTGTTACTAGTAATTTACAGAAAATGAACGACATGAACTAAGAAATTTCTTGGTGTACAGCAAGAATTATTAAAAGACTGCATAATAATGACACTTTCAAAATTATATAAATATAAATGATAATGCACTTTATTTATTTCATATTCAAATAAAAGAAATGTTTATTTACAAGACAAGTTAAAAACATTTTATACATTATTCATATTACATAAAATAGCAAGAGCCCAAGAACTTTATGGGCCTATACATGAATTCATATACTTTATACATGAGTCTTCTTATTCACGAACAACTGAAAAATAATCTTTAAATTATAAAAATACGAATTATCAAAAATCTTGTACATGAATGATAATTCTGAAATGAACATTAATTTGAAAGCATTCAATTACAGCATGCTTGATTTGTTTTAATATTCTGTATACTGGTTTTTATTTTTTTACTTGAGTATCATAATTCTGTGATATAATATGTTTCATATCACAAATCAACAGGAATTCAACATTTGTCAACAGCTATTTTTATGATGTATTGTCTGAGATATTAATTAATGGGAAATCATATTTACAGTTTTCTGAGACTCTGAAAATTTATTATTACTGTCAATAAACCAGTTGTCTATGAACCAGATATGAAATATCATAATTAAAATTCTTAATATTTTTAATGTGTAGTTGCCTCATCTGAATATACATTTTAATATTTTTATAAACATAGTTTAAATGTAACATATTGCATTTCACTCTCACAGACTTGCAATAAAATGCATTCCACTTACAATAATATTATATACTTTTGTTTAATACAAATAATTTATTTCCAATAAAATATATAAAATAAATAGTGTCCAGATTGGCAGTTGCAATTATCAGAAAACATAGTAATGTTAAAAAAAGAATGACTATATGACATATCTTCATATAAAATTTTATGTTATTCATCAATATATTAAATACTTTACATCATAAATAACAGGAAAAATTCACTGGACAAATATAACAGAAATAATAAGCATCAACACAATGGCACATTTACTATTTTAAGCAATGTTCATGGTTGCTCACCATAGCCATTCGGTAATCCATTATCGAGGGTAGAATGAGTGCGTGATTTAGAAATGGAAGATTTTGGAGATTTGAACCGAACATCAAAAACTTCCTGTATTGCTTGCCTAAAACAGTGGAAATTATAGTCGATCAAGGCTGAAAAGAAAAGAGGAGTATATCCAATCAATCAGTACTTTATACCAGGAGAGTCAAATATAGTTACACGTTTAAAGTAAATACAATATGTTACTTAACACACTAGATGAAAATTAATACAATGTATAACATTTGAAATTAATTTTTTTTTCATTTCAGGTATGAAATACTGGATTTTGCACACTACTAAAATAAATTTTTGAGACAATAAACTTCCTGAACATATTCATCATGGCAATGGCACACTTTTGTCCTATTCAGTGTGCTAAGAGTTCTCCTTTAGCGCTACATTCCTTTCAAATTTGATTAATTTACTTTAATAATGAATTGTAATCAATGATTTAAAACTTATTTATGAATACAGACGTAAAACAATAATGAGATAAAAAATAAAATTGTAAATATTGCATAAAATTAGAATTTGAGCTATTTTTCAAAGCAAATAACATATAATGCATATTCTGATGGGCATGTTTTACCACATATTGTGTTTCAAGTCAAATTTGGTGGAAATTATGCACAACACATTTACATACTAGCATAAATGTGGTCGATGTTGCAGGCATTGTGCCAAAGTAATGCTGGCCTTCCATTCGCAAAATATCTGAAATTTATGTTGTATGAAATAATTCCCAGGAGCTTGTATATCCCCACACTCATTGAATACAGTAATGAAAGCACTATTTCTCCTCGAAACTAGTCAGAGGCTGCCTTCCATTGACCCAAAACATAGGTGTTAGAAATCATCAAATCCAAAATCTGAAGTACAACCTTTCTGCACCATTTTAGTGATTTCCACAAAGGTGAGCGATATGAAAGCAGCTCATCAATCCTATCTACCTCACATATGTGTATGTTATCATCTAGAATATTACATGGCTTGGCAACAAATTCCCCTTCAATTCCTTTCACACAAGGTCTTCATTCCACCAGAATTCTCAGCTCAAGGATATCTCATTAGTCTTTCTCTTTCATTACAACCGCCTGATGCTTTCTGTACGTGATAATCTCAAATCGTTTTAGATCCATGTTCATGAGATCAGGAGATAGTTTCTGTTTGATCGCAATGTTCCACATAACGTTTTGTTTTCGAGGAGCTTATTTGCCACAGTAATACTTGTGTAGTAATTGCTTGTGTAAAGAACGTGCCCTTTATTCAGAAGTTCGTCCAACAAAGCCACTACTAAAATTTTTGTATATCTGTTGGTTTCTGATACGATTTGCATAACATTCTTAGACACAAATAGATACATACCACTTTTTATGCCATTCACAATATGATGCCAAATCCAGTTGGGAATCATCAGTCTTCCCCTCACCACCTTCTAAAACATCCTACATTATTCCATCAATATCAACATTTAAGCCTGCAGTACACTGAAGTGAATCAATATTTGCCTTATCTCCATCTGTACTTTCTTCAGCATCATAGCTTTCATCCCTAATGCCAGAACTGGAATCATGGTTACAAAGTCCACAACTGTCTTCTCATCTGAGTTGACATTGTCAATAAGTCCTTTGTCAGATATAAAATATATCATTGCCTCATCAATTAAAGATGCCTTCATTTATTCAATTTTTTTCCTTTTCGAAAAATGTGACAAGCATGTATAGCACACAAGTGCAACAATGCACAAAGCCAATTGCCATGGTTATAAAAATTTCGCCCTAACTCTAAAAATTGAGCATCTCATAGAAATCCTGCGAAAAGAAAATATGGACTGGGATGTGCTGAAAAGCCAAACTGTGATAATGTAGGAAAATCTTATGTAGAGGAAGAGCTATCTCAGCTCTAGTGCTCAAAGAATAGTCTTAGAAAATGAGATATCTTGTCCTTTGCTATGGAAGTGTTATGAAAATTTAAGTTTGGACATTAAAATATTATGAATTTCTAGCAAATGCAATGCTTATTTTTATTTGCAAAATGTTATTTACCAGTCTGCTTTCTATAACAGAAGAAGCTTATACCTTTAAAAAAGAATGGCACTGAACATCCATAGCTGAAATGTGGACTTTTGCATACCATAATGTGATAAGAGAGAAATGTAATAGCAAGAAACTACTTACTATCAATAGCAAGAAAAGGAGATGATGATGAGAAACACTCAGGAAAGAAAACCATCTTAAAGGACTTGCAGTAGCATGATGCAGTGATATCAATAATGATTGTAGAAGGAAACAGTCAATAGTTTAAGGTGATAGAATGAATTTATAGGCCAGACTTCACAATGAAACTATTTCATTAACTATTATATTATTATTCCACGATGCAATCATATTTGTAGCCACTTGCAGCCTCTACCTTTCCCAGTTTTCATTTTTGCAAACACTTCTATATAACTGCAACCCCGATCTTGAACTTTTGTTTCCCATTTTATCAAACTACTTACTTAAAAAGGTTTCCTTTTTTCTAGTCATGTGAAATCTTCAACCTATTATTTAATTAATTCATTTATTAGTAAATTTATTCTTTTACTAATTTTAGACCTTTTGCCTTTGGAAAAATTTCCTATTTTAGGCGGTAGCCTTCCATTCTTAACAAAAGTAACTCAGTTTTGTTTCCTTAAATTCTGACTTTAAAAAATTAATTGCTTTTTTTTTGTAGCAGTTTTGCCATTTCTCAGGTTCTATATGTTTTGAAAATTTTAATTTATTGCATTTAATTTGTCTAGTGCCATGGAGATGGATTCTGCCTTCTTGAATTACTTTTTTCTAAACATTAATCTTCCGAAAGAACTCTCATTACAACTTATTATGAATTACTTCTTCCTAATTTTAAGCCTTTCACTTGTTGAAATGTTTGACAATCAAGGCTAACAGTTTACCATTCTCAATTTCTTTCTTTACTCTCTGCCTTTAAAACTTGATTACTTTTAATTTTTTAACAGTTTTGAAAAAATTTAGTTTAGCCTATTGCTTTTAATTTGATCACTCTTTTCTCTGAAACTTCCTCTCTCCCAAACAAAGGAAAATAAGTCAAGAGTTCTCAATCAGACATAACAGTCTTTTTTATACTTTCACAGTAACTCAGTTCATGCCTTATTAGATTTAAACAGCTATTATAAATGAACTGTTGAGAATCTTTTAATATTTATTTTGACGATTTAAAAAAAAATCAGTTATCACAAATTCTATTTGTACAAAATAAAATATTTTTAGTTTCATATTCATTGGTCAAGACTTTTTCTTACAGTTTATTTTTTTCTTCCTTACCATTTTAATTCATAAATAACGTACATAAAATAGAGAATGTTAGATAAACATTCCTTCTTGCTTACCTTGCCTATTGAAATTATCTTCTCTAAGTATACAAACTAAGGCTAAGAACTTATTCACTTCTCTTAGGTAAAGCACAGTACTATTATTTAACTTAATTATATTAGATGATTTTGAGTTGAAAGCACTACCTTCATCTTCTTTTAACCTAAAAGTAAAAAACAAAAATAAAAACTGTTATTACACATGTGGAGATTTTAAATTTAACAGATTCATTAAATTTTAGTAAACAGAATAATGCCTATATATTTCTTCAATTGAATTCAATAAAGAGCACAGTTCTGTGTACAGTCAACTATTTACTCACAATGTCATATTCAATAAATTTTAAAATGACTAATTGGCTGCAACTATTAATAGTAATTTTTTATATTCAGAAAAATACACATAATGATTTATTTTAAAAGAAGAAAACATTAGAAATTTCTTCTTTAATAATTACGTTTAAGATAAAAATTTACATTGAAACATTATAAATTATAAAATAAATATTAACAGTACTGCATTAATTTTAATTAATTTTACCAGGAAGCTAATTTTTCTTATTTTTAATGAAGCAAAACCATCAATAATTTTTTTTTTGCATGTCTGCTTAAATCATGTTTAACAATTTCAATTGTGTTTTTTTATTAAAATATATTCTTAACATAACTTGAACTAAGCTGCACTAAAAACTCCCAGAGTACTCCCAAATAGTTTCTTGAATTCATGGAGATGGGTGTTACGAATATCATATCTCAATGGAAATACCCATTTTCACTATTTTGTTTGTATGACATCTATACACATGGGCAGAATAAGGGACTCTTTTTACCAAAATGAATTGGACTATGGATTCAAAATGGATGTTTTTCCAAAATCTGTATGCATGCATGCACATAGATCTCAATGAAATTTTGTTAATGGGAGTGCTATAATATCTAGTTGTGCACCTTCCTTTTTTTATTCCAGTCAACAGTACCAAAAGTGTGTGTATATATGCAATGATATTTTAAAATCAATTGATTAAATTAAATTCTAATCATATTGCTTAATAATGTGTTGGCGATTCTTTACCTAAATTACATCCCTGTCCCTAAATTTTGGCGAAATCCTTTCTTTATTATAAATTATATTAACCTGTTGGCACATGCCAAATCGCCAAACTCATAAATCTGTCATATTACATAAAATCCTTAAGAACACTACTGATGAGAAGATAGCATCATCTCGAGATTTCAATTAATATCGCTGATTGGATGAGCACCATGACGCACACATATCTATAAATAGGGTTTCTCCTCGAGGTACAGGAGGAACGCTTGCGAGATGGATGCTAAAATAAACGTATCACTTTATATTCCAAAATTTGTCTCATTCCTGTTGCCCCGGCTGCACAGTACCAATAATGTATGAGAAAATACATTTCATATATATAGTATTAAAAAAAAAAAAAAAAAAAAAACTTACCTGGCTTTTATTTTTATAATCGTTGGTCATTATCTTATGCTTCCAATTATAGAAATGTTTTAAATGATGAAAATATTCATGTTTTCACAATGTCAGATTAAAAAAAAATTTTGACATAATCTAAATTTTAATGCAGCCTCTTGGTTCCTATACTTATATTTGAGAAAGTTTCATTCTTGCTACGAAAAAATAAAATTATAAGAAGTTTGATTCCCATTCGACAAAAATTGACTGGAATATTTAATTTCAAAGTTTGCAATTTTTTTTTTTGTCATTCTTAACTTGACCATTGAGGGACCATTGCCTTGAGAGATGGATTAATTAAGTTAGGATACTTTAAGGGAATAAGTTTAAATGAAGTGTAGCAAAAGATATATTTAATTTAATAGGCCATGCATGATCATGGTGTTTCCATTAGATTTCTTTTAATAATTTTTATGGGAAAATTCGATACAATTCAGTGTCTTCTAGCGATGCCATTCTACAGCTAGTTTAGAGAACAAATTCTGAAGTTGTCTGAAAGCAATTGGGCACATAACTACTGCTTTAACAAACTGTTCCATTATGCAAAACAGGTGTGACAGCGACACCATTTAAAAAATCCGACTACTATGGAGTAAAAATCAGAACTATTTTTAAATAATCCAGAATAATGCTGTGATGTACTTATGTACATGCATACATACATACATATTATTTTAAAATAATTTCATTAGTGAAGTAATACAAAATGCTAATTTATTAAAACTTAATTTCTATTTGTCTATACCACTTCATTATTTACCTTTCTGCTTTCTTAACTTTTTTTAAATAATTTATTAGCTTGCTTTTTTTTTTGAGGGAAGTTAAATTTTGGGAATTACTGTATTTTTGTGAGACATTTTGATACACTGACTTTTTTCCCCTTAATACTTCAAGCATTAGATCAATCTTAAGTATGCATATTAGCAAGTGCTGGAGATCAGGAACTGCTAGCAGGAAGAGAATGGTTCAAGGACTGTAAAGAATTTTGGTAAACTGTCGAAATCGATAAATTGCCATTTTTACAGTCCAAAACCTTTGCATGTATTTTTGTTTAATGAGAATAATTGACAGGAAGCAGAGAAACTTGTATTAAATGTAAACACCACTAAAATGGTAATAACAGTGCTAAGCTGAAAATTTTTAAAAAGGCATTTTCTGTAAGTAACCAACCATTTCGTTTAGTGGCCATGTTCTTAATTCCTTAAACTTTGCTCAGTTCTGTTTATACTTTGTTTTACTGTTGAGACTAATTTTTCTATTTTGGATTTACTTTTTTAATTTCCAGTCATAAATAGAACACAAAAATTTTTCTTTGGAAGCTGTCAGAAAACTTAAGTATTTTTAGCAGTTACAAACACATCACGCTACAACTGAAAAGTTTATTCACCTACAGGATATTTATTACATGCATCAAATTATAAAACCACACTTGGAACCTGTACATAGTCCATCACACTGAATCAGCAGTTTCTAAATGCCAAGCTGGTCAACAAGTGACATAAAGAAAACATCTTGGCTAATAATTATTCAAAATCTTTTTTTTTTTTTTAATATATATATATTTACTTGAAATAAAAGGTAAATAAAAGACAGTATTTATCAATTAAATTCTGAACAATGCTAAAGCCATTTTTTTTTCATCATATAATTTTGTCTCTGGCAATATTATGACAAACATCTATTTTAGTTTTATTAAAAATATGCTTCTCTCATGGTAAAATCAAATACTAAAAAGGGATTATGCATAGCCTTTTCTTGGTAAAAATATACATACCTTAAATACAAAGCTTATGGAAAAAAAAAGGGGGGCAGCTTAATGAGTGACAGAGATAGTTTTAAATCAATTAACTTTTGTATGTATAAGTATTAACATGTATTAATGCCTTTTAAAATTTATTTCAGAATTCCGATTTTTCCAGATGGATTTGTGAATTAGGCCCATGGCAAGCAAAAACTGAAATATCATCAACAGGTTCTCACCAGAATCTTTCAAAGATCTTTGCTAAAATAAACCCTAGTTATATTTCCCAGTCTCCACAACAAGATTGTTTCAATGTTGTGGGGACCATTTAAGCATTCAAAGACATTCTACTTTTAGTCATATTATCACCCATATAGTTAAATACACTTTTAATAATGGGTCGATGGAAGACAGCTAAAACAGAACTGCTTAGTGCAATTTTAAATATTGTCAATTTATCATATTTGAATGCAGTGTTTCCTGAAGGGTTACAATTTCCAAGGTGCTTCTCAGAAGGCAGTAAATGGTTAAATGCTAAAGGAAATAACAGATTGACTTCTAAAATTGAACCCCCCTGAGAGATAATAATGCATGAGTACAAATTTAATTTTGCAACACCTCTCACCATTGGCAGATACAGTTTGATTTTTGCTGATAGGGATGGCAAACTAATAACATATTGAATTAAACACTTGCCAAGCCAATACTTTATAATCGCGAGGGTGATCCAACTTGTGCTACTGAACTCGGTAGTAGAATTTAGAAACTGTAAAGGTGGCCCTGAAAGACAAAATGCCCATTGTCGAGCCTGTGTGGTCCTTAGAATAATACAAATACTCAAATGGCACTGATTAAACAACTCGCCTCTGTTCATATGCCTACAAACATCGCACAAATTCAACATTCCTCTGCTTTCATGAGCATCATTAAATACATCATTCTGTCCCTTTCTTTCACATAATGCATGCTGTTCTCCCAATTCAGGTATTAAAATGCAATTAAATCCATTTTCATTCACCAGTCTAACACAGTTTTCTTTCCTTCCATTTCCAAAATAGTAAAAAGTAGTTTAATCATCTCTTTTATAGTCACAAACTTTTTCATACTGGGTTCAGCACTGCTTACACAAGAAATCTTTAAGGATGGTATGGTCATCATTAAATCATCAGCCAAATTAAAATCAAATCACTATATTGTTTTAAATACCCTGCCTCCCCAAATGAGGGGAAAAGCTGTCAATCATTAATTCAATTTGTAGCATCACCATACTCAAATTCTTAATTCCTGCCCTCCTATGTCTTTAGAACTGGTCAAGAACTTGTCAATCATACATCAAATTTCCAAACTAAAGAAGAAGAAAAAAAAATTAACAATGCATAAGCATGAACTCATGAATTTCTCCTTTTTCAATACTGCAAGCTTCTATTTTCCCTCTACTTTGGATTATAAAGTTTGGCACACTTATCACCCAGAAAATATTTTGTTGCTAACCAGCTTGTTAAATGCCTGTCCTTATAAATTCAGAAATTCTGCACTTGAGAAAACAAAAAGTCTAGAATTCTGACTACATTCAGACCATGTCCACATCTGGTACAGTTACATCTGCATGAGAAGGCACCATCTTTGGTAGATGAAGAACTCCCACACAATGCTGAATTCCTATAGAAAGTTTCATCCACTGAGAGCAATCATTACAGTCTTACTGCATCTTGCTGCCCCTTCTGTTTTTAAGGCAGACACAGCATATATATTCTGTGAAACCAGCTTGAAGCAACATAAAAAATTCCAGTATTTTGAATTATCGATATACTTCATATTTATATTTATCATAATTTAAAATTTGTACATCATCAGTATGTATATCAGATTATGGCTTGAAGGCTTCATGTATCTTATTAGCTGCTTCCAATTAGAATGTTTTTGCTATTCACAAATTTCCTGCAGCTATATCAAAACAAATTTATGCCTTTTAATGAATGCTGCTGAATTTCTCAATAAATTTACTAATCAGATGGCCATCAACATATGCAGTTGATTGCATCTTTTCTTCCCCCTAATACTTTTAAACGATAGAGTTGCAACAGCAGTGAGCAATTGAAAATAAAGAATTTATACAAATTAACCTAAAAAAACAAATTTTCAGAGAGACATATATCTTTTTTTTTTTTAAACATATAAATTATCTAAAAATATTTATACTGAAGAATATACAGACATACAGCAGTTTTTTTTTACAATGCCACAACATTAAAAATTCTAGGAAATAACTATGTTTGATGCTTTTCCCCTTTTTAATTCAAATTTCATTCTTAATAAAAAGGGGCTACTTACCCATAAATACAAGAAATGTCTATAACGACATCTATCATATCACAACACAGTTCGTAAGACTGCATGTCCACTGGAGTGCTATCTGTTGCAATGTAAATTTTGCTGATCACATCAAATAAGAAAGCTTTTTCTATGGCAGAATTCTTCACGTGCAAAGAAAAAGAGGGAAAAAAATTAACTTGCAATTTTAAAACATTTCATATTAGAGTATTAATATCTGAATGAGTCTGTCATTAAAAATTTTGAAAAATTAAAAGAACAACAGGTATAAAAAATCATTTGACTATTTTTTTTCCCACAAAAATAATATTTTGCTGCTGCAAATTCATAGAACTAAATACAGTGATTACTTGAAATACAGTTGAATAACATTAAAACTGAACTCAAAAAGAATCTCAATTTTAAAAATGTTGGTGTTTCTTTCTACATTTCTTTTTTGAAGGTAATACAGTCAAGTACTTGCTAACATTTTACATACTCTATTCTGAAAAGAAAGTATTTGAAAAATGATCTTTTCAACTCTGTATTTGCTACACAGATGACACATTTGTGCTTTTTGATGATAATAAAGAAGATTTATCCCAAATTTGGTAAAAGTTTAGAATCAGTTGCCACTTGATATTTTTGGTGAGTTTTTGTATGCCAAGAATGTCGCAAAGAAAAAAATGTTCCAAGATAACGGTCATCCAAACAACAAAAGTACTCGTATTGCATGTCCTTTGTTATGTCTTTCTATCAGCTTTGAATGACTGCAGCATATAGAATTCTCTAATATAGTTTATATGGTCCTGGAATGGATGCTTTTCCTCCTCCTGATCCTTGCACCCTGAATGTCACAAAAACTTCATCAAGTAGGAATCAGAAATTTCATCTCCAATTTAATCTGGCTGAACATGCACTCAGTAATGTTGGTATCTGGAGGATCTCCATAGCTGATATGGGCATCAGTTTGGAGGACATTATATCTCAGAGAATGATTCATTGACAAATGCTTGAAACCATGATTACCGAGGTCATCATATGCTTTCCAACAATTCGAGATAATAGTGGTTCCAGGGAAGATTTTCAGAGATATCACTTCCAAGAAAATCTCTTTATGAGGATTCATTATAAGTCTCTCAATTGACTAATTTTTCATTTAAAAAAAAATTCGGTTATTTAAGTTTTTTATTTAGTTTTACGAAATAATAATAATGATGATGCAAAGTGAAAAATTCCAATTCCAATTAGATTTACTTTCTGTTTGAAATCTAAAGATTAGTATCTGCAAAAAATTTCTGCTGGTTATATTTTGTAATTCAAAGGTATTGACAGCTAAATTTTCAGTCTGGCATTTATTTCAAATAATTCTAATAAAGTGAATTAATCACCAAATAACTTTTTGACAGAAATTTTCATGTGTAATAAATATGAAAGCCACCTTTCCATATGGAATTTTCTGTCCACAGTACTGAGAGGGCTAAACAAATTATGAAAACCTTCCAAGTGGGACAAAACTTGAAAATAAATAATGACAACCTATAATTTTTCTTTTATTAAATATTTCTTCAATGCATACAAGAAAAATACATGTACTTGCATGTAAATACAGATCATAAACTTTTTCTCTCTTATTACAGCTTAATAACTTTTTGACAGTGATAAATGCTTTAGGAGAGAAATTACTAGAATACAACATGCTCAACTTCAATACAAGATGCTCAACGATCAATCGGGATCTTTTCTTATTAATTTTCAATTGAAATATTTTCAACTGCATGCATTCACATATAAAAGTATTTCCAAACAAAGTGATTATTCTTAGCACAAATAGCATAAATATTCATAACCAAACTTATTTACTTTTTGACAAATTCAAAAAGTTGATATAATATGTTTTTTCAAATCTTTCAATAAGATTTCTATCACACTGTAAATTAGCTCCATTCATAGATTTTCTTTTTTCTTTTTTTTTTTTAAAGGTAACAAAAACAGTGTAAACTAACTTCAAATAACTATAAATCTTTGTAGCATTATAATTTTAACAAACACAATAATTGGAATGTATTCACAAGTTGCATAAAACTGCATGGCCCTCAGGCCACCATTTTGAAACCACTGACCTTATAATACATACTTACTGTAATAAAAATATTCAAAAGGTTTTCTAAAGCTGGCAGCTGAGGTATAAGCTTCTGTACAACTTTGCTGAATGCTTCAAATATTGAATGATCATATATGCTTGTGAGATAGAAACTAAAAAAAATTAAACAGAAATAAATGAAAACAAATTTTCATGCAGTTGCTTTTACAAATAACATAGTACATAGTTTACATAGTACAATGCCTGAAACCCAAAATCCTTAAAATTTGATTATATATAAATATCATACACATTTTCATTATTAAAACCATCACAGAATAATTTCCTATCAAAAATCTTTGTTTTTCATATCCATACACACACATATATAATTACATATAAATAAGAAATTCTTTACATATATCAACATTATAAAATAGGAATATTATCACAAAAGTACAGCTAAATGATTTTTTTAAACCCATGATTATTTTGAAAACAGAATTGAATGAATGAAATTTGTTGAATGAAATGAATGAAATTTTTGAAATCGAATGAAATTTGTTAAATGGCTACAAAGCAAAACATGTGTATTTGCATTAAACATGTTTAAAAACAAATTTTATAAGATTGGGCTGCTATTTACATTGCACAAAAAAAAAAAAAAAAAAAAAAAAGAGTGATGAAAGAAGGGAAAAAATTATATTCATAAAAATTTTTAAAGTAAAAGATAACTAACAGACCAATTTTATTACAGTCTAAGCACATGAAATTGATTATTACCTCAGATTCACATTCTCTAATCCAGCATCAATTAAATCATCACTTGCTCGTTGATGTATATCTCCTTGTGTTTCAATCTTATGATCATCTGTCAGTCCATCTACTTTGTGAATGAACACTTCAAATTTTATTTCAGGATTTACTTTATAAGCACGAGCGACAGTAATTTTTAGTTTGTCTAAAGCTTCCATGTATTCATCCTATAAATAAAAGTTACCTAAGTTTCATATGTCTTTGTACAATCTTTAAATTAAGCGTCTAGAAGAATTGCCATGTAAAGCAAACCATTTTTTAATTAATGTGCTACAAGTAAAAGATTTTAAAAATATAGATAATTTCTAATATAATGAAGAATTTAGAAAAGATGTACATAATGGGTTACAGTTGGGAAATAAACGTACACTAAAACATAAAACATTACAAATTTTGAATTGAACGGAAATTACTTCCATAAAATTATTTGAAAAATTTGTATATGTAATGCCAAAACATTCAGCAACTGCTCATAAGAACACATGAGAATCTCCATATTGTAAAAATTTTCTGATAAAAAGCTTAAGTCTATCCAAGTTACAAAAGAGTACAGTTTATTCTTTAATTAATTTGAATACCTTATAAAAATATAATACATTTATATATAGGAATGTTAAATAAAAATATAATAATCAAAATAATCAGATTAAATTTTTAAAAGATATGCAGAATCCTAATGCTTACTCCTAAAAACATCGTATCAGTTTTCTATGATTTTTAATAACCTATCAGATTTAGAAAATGTCATAACTTAAGAGCAATAATTTTTGGATTTCTACTGAAGAGATTGTCTTCAACTGGTCGTTTGAGTCAGTCATGAAGAAGAAAATCCATTACCACTCACAATGGCACAAGAGGTTTTCAGTCACTGTCTTTTTTTCTGATAGGCTGAGCTACCTGCAGCATCATGTTAGAAGCAATATTTTGGGAATATAAAGAATATATACTAAGAATATATCCTTTAAACTGGTTTTATAGAAGCACATTTCCATTGTAAGTTATTTGTGGTTTTGTTTAAGAGCTTTACTTTTTTACATCACTGGGTTTAAATGGAATTTGTCACACTTTCAACTGAATCAAGATTAAGAAATGTCTTAAGCACACAATAATTGTAATTTTCATGAAAACTCAGATAAAATTAAAAAAATATACTTCATTTGCCAGCATTCATTTTTCTCCAACAGTATACCAGCTTGTTTACATACATTTTGGATGCAAGAACTGCATACCAAATTCAACTCTAAATATTCCAACACCTATAAGGTATTTCTCCAGACTTCTTGGTGTGGTGGTCTGATCCACTGAAGAGTAACTTCGGTTTCTTTCCTCTTGAGCTGTTGTAAATTAATTCTACACTGTAATACATCTAGATCTAGCTGCAGCATCATAAGAACTTCAAGTCAGACGTATTACAACCTTAACAGAAGTCGTTGTAGAGCTACCTTAATAGCAACTGTCTCACAATCAAAAACAGTTTTAAAATGTCTGATAAGAATATAAAATGCAAATAATTTACAAAATTCCTCCACAGCAACATTTAGTAAATCAACTGAACATGATCCATCAGTATACATTCTAAGCCAGTCAGATTTCAGATATTGAAGATCTAGAATCTCCAATGTCATTCTTTAAATTCCTGAGTCTAGATTAGTATTGTCACCCAAAAAATTTATTACCAGTTCTTGTTACCTTTTCATATAAAATAGTTGCCCTCTCTTTTATCAGGTTCTTGGTAGGTTTATTTTCTGTAAAAAGTAGCACTCAACCAGCATGTTCTTAACAGTGGCAGTAATTAAACAAAGTGCCTTGTCAAAGTCTCTAGTTTTCACAAGGACACCTTAGAAATAGCAATCAGTGGTGCAGAGCACTATGTAACGATCGGCAGGATAAAAGCTTTATAAACACCTTTCAAAGTGGAGGCACCTACAGCACACTCACAGAGACAACCAGCGATGTGCTTAAGGAAAGCCAGTTTTTTAGTAAATTGATGAGATATATATTTAATTTGACATTTCTAGCCATCTTATTCTCAAAGACAACTACAAGACAGTGAACTTGTCAGATGTATTTTATACAATGATTTCAGAAATAAATATTAATAAAAAGTTCTAATTTTCTATGTGTAAGAAAAAAGGTCTGGACAACAGTCTTATAATGAGTAATACTCTTGTTATTAATATTACACCAACTTTCTAATATTCTACGGCTAGTACTAAGGGTCTCCACAATTATACTCTTTGCACCCTTCTTCTACAAATACACTAGATCATCTGCAAATAAAACACAATGAATTCTCTCATCAGAGTTCAGAGCAACAAGTCATTTATATACATGTTGAAAAGGATGCAGCTTAATAAAGAATCCTGAGGAAGACCAGTATACAAGATTAAACCCCTAGGTACTTTATTTCCAATACAGACTCTACAGAAACGTTGCCTAATAAAAGAGCAAATTCAATTTAATGTTTGTTTCCAATATCAAGATCTATAAGCTTAAGAAATAACTTCTCCTAAAGAACAATTAAAAACAGATATTCAGTTTTTTAATCCCTTGAATAATAAGGCAATACATTCCTAAATTTCAATATTCCAACCATTAGTATATTTTATGCATTAAAAAAAGTGCCAATTGTTTTATAATAGAAGCATCTAGCACAAAATTTAAGGAAATGAAACAGGCTAATTCAAAATTTAAATGTAGAGAAAATTCAACTATAGATTAACAGCATTTCCCTACACCATCCCCCTCAAAAAAAAAAAAAAAAAAAAAAAAAAAAAAAAAAAAAAAAAAAAAAAACTAAAATCATTGCCCAAAAAGGGCTTATTTTCCTGGCAATGTCAGCCTCTCCTTCCAACAAGGGATATTTCATAGTTTTTTCCTATGTCATTTGGGTTTAGCCTAATATTTTGTTGTCCCATAACTTTCTCAGTCATTTTTCAAGTGATAAAAGCTAAAAGATTTTCCTCTTCAGTTAACCAACATTGTCGCATTTCTTTATTTGAAAAGTGATTGAGGGAAAAATTGAAAAATTCAGGTTCGAGTTTACTTCTTTTGGGCTTTTTAAGGGGGGCATAGAACTTTTTAAATCACAGAACCCTCCCATTTCAACATTCAGTACAACTGTGTTTCAGGTGTTACATTAATGTATACCAATGACAACAGCTAACCCACTCATGTACTTACAATACATGTGTGTGAATACTCATCAATTTATCCACTTCTTATTTAACCAATTAGTGTATTTCTTCCAAAAGCACTTTTTTTGTGTCATAAAATTTATCTTGCCTCCTTTTAATGCTTCTTTTTTCTGTTATTTATAAATAGAACAGTTGTAAAGATATCCAAAGAAATGTTTTTCGCTTATGAATTGGTGACTCTTCATGGAGGCAGGTATAATTAGAAAGTAACAAAAACATAAATACTCCACTATTTAACAGACTATTTTTCAGGGTTGCCACTCAAACAGGAGAATGAAATTCCCTGACTTTTCCAGGTTTTCCAAGCGTGTTTTAACCGCTTCCCTTACAATTTTTTTTGAAAAACATTGCAAAAAATCATCACATTTTTTTATTTTATTATTAAATACAACAAAACGAAACAAATCAAAATATGTAGTTTTTAAGTTGAATTTTTAATTTTTTGAAGGTGTAAAAGCATTTATTTTTAGTATTAGTTTACTCTCCTGTGTTATCTCGGGCAAACGAAAAAAAAAGTTAAATATTAATCTTTGTATGATAGTTTTTGAAACAAGGGACAACACAGAGTGATACCTGACATTCTACACTGGTATCTGGTCTCTTTTCTTATTGGCTTACCACTGGAATCTCTTTCACGGGAGCACAGAGTACACTGTGTCGTTAGATTTTTTCCCCCCCACCTCTTCATAATCACTATCAGAAAATTCATCGCTTTTGCTATCTTACATCATCGGCATTATTTTACTTTTTTTTCCAACACATGCATCCTTCTTTATACATTACTAATCCACAAGCCAACGTATACTATACAGTAGGGAAACACGTGACCAGTCCCTCCAAAAGAACCGCGCAACCAACAAAATTTGGCAAACTGCCAATCAAAGCTGAATATTTCCTTTCATTTCCTCCAGACCGAGTAAAACCAAGGTAAAAGAAATTGTACTAACAAATTCTGCTTCATAATTAACTGCAATATATACGAATCCGAGATAACTCGGGATAATCAGGCAAGCGGTTAAGAAAATTCTATTCCATCCACATAGTGCATGTTGGTTGTGCTGAGAGGTAAATTAATTATGGTACCACTTGAAAACACAAAAATTTGCCAATTACATATGATCTCAAGCATTACTATTGTAACTATAATAGAAGTTGTTTTCTCCACTGAAGATTGAGTTTAGAATTGGAACCTGGATTAAAAAATGTCTTTTTTTGCAAACATTTTGCAGCTAAACAAAAGAAAGAAATCTATTTATTGATATTTTAAAATAAATTCAGGTTTTTTATATTAATTTAGCAGCATACATAAGGAAAAACTATGTGCATTAAATTTCGTGATGGCATGTCATTATACTGCTAGAATTAGTTTCAGGAGTATGCCGAGAAAATTGAAAATATTATTAACTAATAAAAAATAAATTTAGGAGGAAGAAGCCATATTAAATGATATGAATAACATTAAAATAAAGTTAATCACTTCAAGATTAAAAACTGAATTAATATAATTAATGATATTTTAGCATATATAATTACATTAAATGGTAAGCCTAGATGACTAATTTTTAATTGATTACATTTTTTATTTTACTGCAAAATAACAAATAAAGTATTTATTAAAAAGAAAAAAAAAGGGGTTAAGAGATTTTGTGATAAAATCCTAGTATACAGTACAGCCTTGGCACAATTTTGAAAATTGTCAGTAATACCAAAATGACCTATTTACTGCTCATCATAATGTCGCCAAATCCTGTGGGCACTGCGGTTAAATCGATTTTGTTTTATATGAGAATGTACAGGTATTTTCTTTTGTTCAACATGCACTGCACATGAGAATTTCTCAATTCTCAAGACTATTGGAAACCAAAGTTTCTAGAAACTTGGCTCTACGCCAGCTGCTCGAATAATGCTCACGCGATTTCACCAAGAAAGTGATCGCTTCCAACATTGCCTTAAAAAATGCTTTTTTTTGGGGGGTGGATCGTCATATGAAATTCAGTTACTTTTCCAGACTTTGAATACTTCCTTTAAATTCACTTTTTTAGTCAATTTTTTTAGTCACTGACTTTTTTAGTCAATTTTCGATTCCCGACTTTTTCCGGTAGTGTGGCAACCCTGATTTTTTTCCCTTCACTCATTTTCATGAAGCTATTCGCAGCAGTGATTACATAAAAGGTATGAAGTGGGTTAAATGGAAGTGATTTACATAATATTATAAAGAAATTAATTTATTAAAGCCTTACTGCTTTAATATAAAATGGGATAAAATACTTAACTTTGCAAATTATTAAATTTTATTTTCTATAATAATTTGGCTGAATTTGTTTAAAATTTTTTAAAATTTATTTAAATGAATTTCAATTATTTTGAAAGTTGTAAAGTAGATCACATTTAAAATTTAGGGTATTTTTATGAAGAGACATTTGATCAACTGCTTGATCAACAGTTTTTTAATTTTTAAATATAAAGATATAGGTGAAAATAATGTACAAAGAAACAGTAAAGCTTATATGCAATGAAACATTCCATGAATACTCACTTGAGCATCAATGACAAAAACTAGAGCACCACTGCCACCAAAGATCATATCAGAATCAAATGTTTGGTCAAAGAAATCAATTTGTCCAGGAAAGTCCCAGATTTGAAACTGTACAAATGAGCTATTTGAAACATCTAAATAAAAAGATATATTTACAGAAGTAAGCCAAATAAATAAAGGTATATTAGAATAAATTTATATTAAAAATAGGTAGTATTAACATTAAAAATAGGTAGTATTAACATAATAAAATTTTGTTTCTTTCATTTTTACTTTAGTATTTTAATTCAAATTTATGAACTTAAAATAATCAAATTCAAATTAAGAAAAATTTTGGCAAATATTAATGATGTGATGATGGTGAAGCTGTCCCTCCATGTGATGATAAAAAAACAACAGGATATTTCAATTTTTCATCATCTTTTATCAAATTTATTTTAAAAGTTTGTAAATCATCCATATGTTTTTACTATTTGCAAATATATGGCAGGACAGTCATAAAAAAATTGAATTTGAAACACAGTTTTATTAAAAAAATCTACATAAGAAGCTTTTTAGCCCAAAATGTATTAGCCCAGAAGGCTATTAATTTCGTTTTGGTATTTTGCGTCGAAAACTTTAAAAGTCTGAATCACTTTTCAAATTGTTGCCACGAAATATTATTGCCCTGTATTATATTTAAAGAAATTAAATAATGAAAAATTTGCATAAATGTATTCATGTTTCTCGCATTATGATAAAACAACAGTACCTACAGCTATCAGTTTTAAACAGCATACGCCTCCACCCGAATTCGGGCATCTGGAAGCCCAAATTTGGAATTTGTTTTATTATCTATTTCCTATTTTGTAAAGTATTTATGAGTTTTAAGAAACTCAATGATTTCAAAGCGAGCAATGGCAACACTGTAGAATATATATATATATAAAAATCCAGCGCATGAGACTGTATCAGGAATTCTAAAGATATGCTCTTTTAAAATTATTTTGCGATATTGCTGTTGAATTGAATTTCATCATTTAAGAGCGAAGAACATGATATTTAATAAATAAAGGTAATACACAAAATGTAAAAAAATGACCCTTTATACGTAATATAAAACCTGAAAGCTTTCAGATTTATTTTTTTTTTTTTTGGGGGGGGGAGGCTTAAATTTTACACAGACACACTTCTCTTCCAATTACAACATATGCTTAGTCATCATTTCATGCTATATTGCTAATAGCGCATAACGAACTATACTGAACATTTAAAAATCTACAGGTAGGAAAATACTACTATGAAGTGCTACATTCTAGCTTCATGATGAGAGGAGTTAATAACCAACAGGCATTTGAGGACAAAGTACTGTGAAAGACATATTGAAAACCTGATCTTTTGTACTGTCAAAGTAAGTTCCTCACAGTAGAAAGTATAATACAATACAGTAAAAGAAAATTATTTTTACCTGAGCCAACATTTTTACAGCATATAACCGACAATCTTTTTCAAAATATGGCTTATAAAAAAATTATACTGTTCTTTATGCTGGGGCAAGGAAAAATTATCACAGAACTGAAAGAGGTGCATATATGAGAGGTTGTACTTTCATTTCATAATGACAAAATTTACAATGAAACGCTGCAGATTTCCCAAAACAAAAGCTTAAAATGCTTTGATTTTGGGAACTGTTTCACATCCTTGCATAGTTACATCAAGATATTTTATATCTAATAATATTTGATATAGAATCAAAGTTATATGACTAATTTTAGTGCAAAGGCAGATTTAAAACATTTGCTGGGAGAAGAGTGATATTTCTACTCAAGAATAAATTATTGTTTTAAATAAGCTTGTTCCCTTACGGAACGATGAATTTTATTTTTTCCCAATCATGAAAACCGTGTTTACATTTTCTGCTGTTTACAATTATACACTATAATATACATACAGATATGTATATATAATAAATACCACATTGTGACACATAATGAAATAAGCATTTCATTTGCACACATATTTTCCCCCGTTTACCATAAAGAGATATTTCAACATCCATGCTTATAAAAATATCATTTATTACATGTTCATTGACTGCAAATTGTCCACAGCTGGTTGAAAAAATTATTTATTTATGTACATTTTACCTTTACTTATTATTATGAAGGTTATCTATAAACAAGTAATTTTACATAATGTCACCAATATTTTGACAGAATGATCAATTTGACTTCTGTTGCCTTCTAAATACAGATGCTTCTAGACATGGATATAAAATAGATTTGTTTTCGAAATTTTCTTTGCTGCATATTTGAATAGCTTTAAAAGAAGTCATGTAATTTTAACATTAAAACTAAAACACTTTATACACATATATATAATTTTCTAAAACATCAATGACAATTCATTACTTTATAAAAGTATTAATCATTTAGTACATTTGATTTACGAGGTTTTAAATACACAACAGTACTATTTGTAATGAAAAGAAAAATTCTGATGTATTACTTAATGTTTTTAACAGAATATGAAAACTCCATTTGAGACATAGTAAAGTTACAATGTTATTACTTCTTTCATACATATTCTATCATATTTCAATTATGCTGAAGAGTATACTTTAAATGGCAAATTATCTGCCTACAAACAAAAAACTACTCAGATTTTTAAGATTACAAATATAAACATAAACCGAACTTCATCACTGCACATTAGTTGCTAACATAATCAGTTAAAGACAAGAAACATCCATAAAAACTTTAAAAAAAATTTATTTTAATAAAAAAAATACAAACCATCTTTTACAATTTTGTTAGTGCTTTCTAGAAACAAAGTTTCATTGGGTGACATCTTATGAAAAACCACTTTTTGAATAGATGATTTTCCACTCCTAAAAAAATAAAAAGGGGGAAAAACCACATTAAAATTTCTGTTTATTTTGGGGATATATTCAAGAAAATATATCTTTTAATAATAAATATTGAAAGTCATATTTCCAAGATATCCCCCCTTTTAAGATTTTGTTGATATAATTCAGAATGTATCATGGAGGGGGAAAATCATGCAGTTACTAATGTTTTACAGCACATTCCAAGTCTAGCACATCAAACAGCAAATTTATACAATGGAAAAAAAATTACAGAATGTAATAAATAAATTAGAACATACATTATAAAACATGACTGACAATTTTAAGAAAAATCTGAAAGTTATACTATTTAAAGTATAACTTTCAGATTATTTGAAAAATTTTCAAACATTATAATACTCTTCATACAATTATAACTGCATTATAAGAAACAGTAGACTAATAATCAAAATTAACAAAGTAAACAGGGAGAAAATGTTCATGCTACATTCATGCTAAGTTCCCTGAATATTGAAAGAAAAATTTTAAGATAGAAAAATTAAGATTTTTTATGTAACAGTATATTTTTCTTTTGAAGATTCTACAGTAATGGTTGGCATTTTAAGGAAAAATGGTAGAAATGGAAGAATTATAACTTGAATTCAGTCCCTCAAAATTCATTAAAAAAAAAAAAAAAAGAAGAGGGGTAAAAATTCCACATAATTAATTAGTCATGCATACTTGTATTACAGGCTAAGATTTGAAGTAAAAAATATTCCATTTTTTATTCAAATTATAAACTTATTACAAAATGTAAATGCAAAATTTTAAATATGTATTTTAGTTAATTTTCATTCTGATCAATTAAAAAGCTTCAATTTTTTTAAAATAAATTACATGTTTTATTCAAGCAAATAAATCATAATTCCTTTGTTTAATAAATTTTAATACAGGAGGAAAAACAGAAGTTATGCAATTTAGTTTCTGTGTAAATCTATGCAAATTAGAGTTTATGTACATAAAAATAAATTTGCTTTTCTTCAGTTGAAATATAAACCAGTTGTGTGTCTAAACTAATAAAAAATAACTTGATTGCTTTTTGTCAAAAAAAGTGTGTGCTGCATTTTCTAATCATACTTAGTTATTTTAAACTTAGTTTTCTATATAAAGATGAGGAGAGGATCAAACAAAATATTTATTTAGTTTCAAAAAGAAAAGTATCCCAGACACCTCACAATTTTGAATGCCTAGATAAGCTGTGATCCCAATTAACTTGGATATTTCCAGTTCTACTGCATTAAAAAATATTTTATGAGTAAAATGCGAAAGAGAAGAATCAAGGAGAAAACATATTAAGAAAAAAAAAAAAAAAAAAATTTTTTTTTGGGGGGGGGGGAAGTTTTATGACATTTAATGCTGAAATAATGTTACTTACATATTAACACAACTACCTTTGTGCAATTTAGTGATTTTTTACTAATGAAAAAATATAAGCTACTCAGGTGCAAGTTTGTGATTTTTGTGACTTTTTTAAAAAAGATTCACAAATTATCAATATTTACTGTTAGAAACCATAATATTTATCAGCATATAAAAAGAAAATACCTTTTAGCAAATTAAAATAAAAACTTTAATTATTAAATATTGATTATGTAACACATCAAAAACTAAAACACATTCGTCTTTAAATCTTTCTGTAATTTTTTCTACTGTTCTTCTCCCAAGCATATAGCAATCTGTTTTCACGTAAGAAAGTCAGTGAATTGCAGACTCGACAACACTAGCTATCTACCAAACACGTCTTCTTATTCCCTTTTGAGATTTTGTGGTAAAATTCTGAATTTCTGCATAAATTTTAATGTGGTTTCTTCCATTGTTGAGAAATCCCACAAGCACACATTTTAATCCGTTACTGCCCAGTGATCTACTTATAGATAACGTACTTTTAGAATGCCCACTGAGAACAATATATTTTAATCACCTCTTGTCGTTGCCTGATTTTCTTACACATGTGGCCACATCCCCAGTGGCATTTTGAAACATTCTTTTCCAAATCAGTCCAGCAGATTACGTCTAAAATATAGCCAAGTGATGCTTCATAGCACAGTTTTCAATTTTGTATCCAACAGGAAAAAAAATTAATAGTTATACTTTTCTTATGTGTTCTATATTTTCAATACCTCTTTAATTGTTCTGTGTTATTTTGATTACAAAAATAACTGTTCTTATAAATTTTTAGCTTAAACATGCTGATCTATAAATAGATCACTGGGCATTAGTGGTAACTAATACTGTTTTTTCCCTTTTCATTTTTTCAGAATGTGCAGGCATAAAACGTTTCACACTGCAGAAGAAGGAAATTACTTTACTGCTTTATGTGGATGAGTTAACTGACGAAGAGTGCTTTGATGACAGTGAATTCATTACTCCATCGATTAAAGATCTGTCAGGTAATGCAGAAATTTGTTTACCCATAGAAGAAAAAGAGGTAAAAGAACAATGTGAATCAAAAAACATAAACGATTTTCGACATAATATTACAGAGCAACTGCCATCTACACCTAGCACGAGTAATAAAAGTGAAAATAAGGAAAAAAAAAAAAAAAGCTTGAAAAGAGTAAAAATGGAACCAAAAGCAAATTGAACAAAAAATAACCCTACTTATGCTTTTGATGAAGAAGGTAATTTGTCTGATGAAAATTTTCAGAGCATTTCAAATATTTTAGAAAATATGAATCCACTTGAAATTTTTGAAGAATTTTTAACTCTCAAATTTTATGAATTTATAATATTCTCGAAACAAATGTTTAGAAATTAAATCTGCAATCCATTTTGTCAACAATAATTATGCAGCAATGCAAAAATTAGACTGGGCATTCAAAATAAGAAAATTGATTAATCACAGTTTTAAAAAATTTGAAATTTTTGATAAATTTCTGTCTGTTGATGAAATAGGTGATTAGATATTACAGCAATTTTTTTTCAAACAATTTCTTAAAGGTAAACCCATACAATTTGGCTATAAATTATATGCTATGTGTGGAGTAAATGGCTACTGTTATTATAATTTTGACTTATATTGTGGTGCAGAGAGTTTTGACAATACTCCTGAAACTTCAAAAGAACTGCTTGGAACACAAATGGTGTAAAAATGCTACAACCAGTAATTGATCGCAATAGCCACATCATATTTTTTTACCATTTTTTTATTTCTTATGATCTGCTGGTTGAATTTTAAAAAAAAGGATTCATAGCCACAGGGTGAATTAGAAACAACAGAACTGCTTCTTGCCCTTTAATATCTGATCAGATATTAGAAAAGAAAAATCGTGGTACTTATGACTACTGTTTCGATGAAAGGAATGATGTAACTATAAACTCTGATTACATAAAGTCTCTAACGCAAGTTTCAAGGCAAAGCTTTGAAAGAAAAATCCCAAATTTTGCATCCTAGTACTATAACCCAATACAGTACAAAGTCCAAAATCCGGACGCCCATTATCCGGAATGATCTAAAATCTGGACCTCAAAACCACCAACAAAATTTTTCTCGTAAACTTTACACATGCGCATTAGATTTCCCCCCTCCACGCGTAATAAAATATCTGGAGAGTCTCGATTCTTAATTTCACTTCGACACTAAATAAAATACACTGTTACTTAAGAAACAACCAATTTAGCATAAATTTGTACGACCAGTAATTTGCTTGTCATGCATCTCAAACCGAAACGTTGCACATAGATACACCGTTGATCTGACGCCAACCTGGCGAATCATTATTTATTATATTTTCCTTTCATTACCGCATGTTTATCAAAACATGACAACTTAAGTAATGACTTATGCAGCGATACCTAAACAATTATTTTATGTTAGTATTTGAATAATAAAGGAGTGTGGTAACTTTTTATTTTGACATTACGCTTGGTGATGATTACAAATTTCAGCTGCACTAAAAAATGTTGACGAGGAAACATTTACCAAAAATTTCTTTCCATATGCTAAAAATAGATTTTGTTAATGATACTCATAGACCTAAGGATTACATTTAAGGATATTTGAATTAAGAATAACTGATTTGTTATTTGCATAAGCACAGAACCAGTGCCAGGACTCGTATGGCCGCACCAAGTTGCAGAATTTAGGATCAACAAAGACTGCATCAGGCGGTATGATACCTAACACCGGCCCTCAATAAAGCTTAGGCATATGTGGGAATTTATTTATCTGATAAGCCTTAAGCATGTGCAAGAAATAGATATAAGTATAATAAGTAACGAAACTAATACAATTCAGGCTTAATTGTCTCAGTGTATCATAGACGCAACATAAAATTTAACAGAATAGCTTGTCGTTAGTTGCCAAGCTTATGATGCAAGGATAGCTAAATTTGATGATGACGGCCGCTAATTTTAAAGGTTTTCGGATATCGCAAAACAAAGGTGAAATTTTCCAGTTAACGGATTTTGTTAATATATGTGGAGAAGCGGTAATAAATGAAGATGATATAAAAGTTTTTCATTGTGATGACAATGCTTCTCAATCATTAATTAAGTGAATGGCGAAATCTGTAGTATGGTTCTAGATCCAGAAAATACTGCTACCGATAGTGGAGAAAGTAACGGAGAAGTTACTGAAAACTAGAAAATTTCGACTGAAAAAAAGTTAGTCAGAATTCTCGAAAGAGCAGTTAAAGGACTACTACAATGTTACTAAACAAGAGATTATCTCTGTCTACCGAATTAAAGAGAAAGTATTAGCACAAAAAACGAAGTAACTTAAAACAACTTACATTGAAAGAAATGTTTAATAAAATAGACAAATAAATATTAAGCTTTTTTTTGTAATGTTTGATAACCTTTAGATCATAAATAATTCATTATTTCATAAATCATGATTTCATATTTTTAATTTTATAATTTTCACAGACCATCTTACTAGATACTAGATTTAAACTGATGATCTATTATCTGGAAAAATCCCAAATCCGGAATCGTGAAGTCCCGACGAGTTCGGATTTCACACTTTGTACTGTATAACAA